AGAGAGAGAGAGAGAGAGAGAGAGAGAGAGAGAGAGAGAGAGAGAGAGAGCGCGCGTACACACGTGCGCAGTGGAGCGAGCAGTGATTGTCTGTATGCTGGAGTTCTCTACCTCTCATTCACCTACCTCTCATTCACCTACCTCTCATTCACCTACCTCTCATTCACCTACCTCTCATTCACCTCATCTGAATCATAGGAATCGTGACTATAATTTGTAGGAGAAATAATAGGATAACATTTATTCTGTCTCTCCAACGATAGTCGCGGAAACCAACAACAACAACAACAACAACAACAACAACAACAACAACAACAACAACAACAACAGCAGCAAAAACATTGATTGATTTTTTTCTGGTGCGTTAGAAAGCGTTTATTCCACTCAAATTTACAGCATAAATAAGATGAGAATATATTTACACGGCGATAGGGGGGTATGTTGTTTATACACGCGCGCAAAATGAATTCGTACAAATATCTTGATTTATAGTAATCAATTGACTTCAAAGGCTATCATCATCATATCGTGGAATGTATAGCAAAAAACCCTCGTTCAAAACCTCGTGCACAAAAAATGCTCTTCTAAAAAAATACAAACTATACACATATTCTGTTTGACTATTACATTACTCTGCGGCTACATTTATCTGTTAACAACACACTCACATCAAACACGACATCGATATCGTATATTGCATAAAAACATATATAATGATGCGAATGAAACTACACGTATATACGCATATATTCAGCGATATATAAGGCCACGTATTTTGTGTCATATTCTGTGCATTTTCTCCCGCGTACATGTGTGCGTGACGTTTGATTATTGCCATTGGAATACAGACAAACGAGAGATATATATCTATAGATGGATCAATAGAAGACCATAAATAGACACATATCACTAGTCTTGTGTGAATTCGTGGACCACTAATACAGTTTTTGGGGTTTTTAAAAACCGAATTAGCTGCTCAATTATTATAAAGCCCGCGTCAACGCCAGAGGACTCTGTTTGTCCACATTAGCAATTACATTACGCATGCGCACGCGGGAACTCTTTATTAGGTTTCTGCGCGTGCGTATCGAGTCACGTGGCGAACAGCCGTCGGTCACGTGTCCGTTGCGCAGCCGCAAAAGCGTCGGCATCCGTCTGGATGTATTTGGTATCACAATATATTGCATCCGAGTGAATTTCTTTGCACGCCAGCGCGTACGCGAGTTCAAAGCTTGACCCCCCGTCCACGCGGGGTTAAAGGTCACAGTGTGACCTTGCCCGTTAACACGTGTGCGGGAGGTCAAGGTCAAGTAATCCCGCTGCCGACGTGCGAGCAGACGCGCGGGGTTGAGGTTCCTCCGGCCACCACCCCCGGCTCCTCCCTGGTACCTCCCCCGGCCTTCACCTTCTCCCTTGGCCGCCACTTCCTCCCTTGGCCGCCACCTTCTCCCCTGGCCGCCACCTTCTCCCCTGGCCGCCACCTTCTCCCTTGGCCGCCACCTTCTCCCCTGGCCGCCACCTTCTCCCCTGGCCGCCACCTTCTCCCCCTGGCCGCCACCTCCTCCTCCGGCCGCCACCTCCTCCCCCGGCCGCCACCCCTCCCCCGGCCCTCCCCCGGCCGTCACCCCTCCCCCCGCGCATCTGCTCAGTCCCCTAGTCAGTAGGCGAGCTCTGCTCCCCACGGGCGGTACGGCTTGCCGTTAGGATTAAAGTTATTCGGCGACGCCGTCGACGGCCAGGTGGCGCTGATGGACGCCGACGACGAATACTGCGACGTTGACGGCTGCGCGAGCGCCGACGACGATGGCGCTGACGTCGCCGCTGCCGCCGCTGCTGACGTCATCATCGAACCAGCGCCGACGCCGAGTCTCATGTGATGCGTCGCCATGGCGCTGCTGCTGCCACCGCCGCCGCTGCTGCTGCTTCCCGCTGCTGCCGGACACGACAAGCTACCGACGCCCGCGTGACCGTACCCAGCCAGTGACGTCATCTCCTGCTGCTGACCCATCGTCGGCATGACCGCTGCGGCCGCTGCGGCCGCCGCAACGCCGGACATGCTGTTGTACTGACTAGATGGATAGCCGGTGGTCAGTGGTGTCCAGGCGGACCCCGGCTTGATGGTGATCTCACGCTGCGAGGAGAAGCACTGCAGATGACTCATGAGGCGCAGACGCAGAGGATCCTGTATGTCCATGCCCTCACACGTGACGAGGTAGCGAGCGACCTCTGCCGCACACTCACGGTAGCCGACGCTGTGGTAGTCCATCGCTATCTTGTTGACGTCGCCGTACGGGTGGTAGGCATCGATGCCTGTGATGGAGGAGCGGATATGCGCGGGTTAGGAAAACTCAGGTGAAGATGTTACTTGTACATGCGCCGTGATGAAATCGGTAAGTTTATTAAATTAAATATAAGATGTAAGTATATACGGATATTGTGATTATTGAGAGAGAGAGAGAGAGAGAGAGAGAGAGAGAGAGAGAGAGAGAGAGAGAGAGAGAGAGAGAG